TTTATATTTTCTAAAGAATTATTAACCGTTAATTAATCAAATTCACATTTTCTCGATAAAGAACCATTAACCCTCCATAAGCTTGTAACTTTGAAATCACACACCAACATATTGGCATCTCGTTGATTTACTTCATTTTCCATAGCAAAGTGACGAGTAAAATTCAGTAATTAACAAACTTTCATACGCTCTGCCATGAAAGTTCGCCATTGTAATTTCAAAATGACAAGATATACTCGTTTCAATGCAATTATTGAATCTTCGCATTTACAGGTTGATATTCGTTAATTTTATACTGCACACATTTATTACGGTCGAAGGAAAATTCGGCATATAGGTTCATTGTTTCTGCATATCAGTCGTAAAAAAGACTATTATGGCTGGTGACACATTGTCAGCAAGCAAAATGGCGTCGGTGAACGCGCCAGTCCGGGACCTCGCATAAAATTTGAATAATACCCGTTATCGAAGGGATAAGATCTGAAATGGTTTATTTCATATTTCATTTTTACTTGAATTGCTAATGTCACACGTGGCGTCCGAACAGGCGTGTACGTCGTAGAACATTGCAACCACCTGCAACAAAGTTTGATCGATGTTGCTAAACACGTTTTCGAAGTGGGTCAGCTTAGAGATAAGTTCTTCTAGTTCGCTGCCACGCGCTGGGTGTCAAGGTTCGCGTACACCGCCGATTCCCCGAGCGACACGAAAAGAACTGTACGTTCAGATACATTCAATAGGTCAAAATTTGTATATTCAATATTTTTTCTACTCGTTTCTAGATAACCTTGGATAAAGAAAGAAAACACTGATAGTATTCCTTCCGTCAGTTACAATATACAATTACATAACATCAACCGATATATTTTTTCATACACGTATTATCGAACCGATAACGGAATCGCGAACAAGGTAAACAAATTAACGCGAGATGCCTGCAATCAATTTCACTGTTGAACGTTTATTTCGAAAACCGTTGCCTTGGAATTTAATGTATTTCCATGTTACATTTAACCCTCAATGGAAATTAATAAATATCAACGTATGAACACTAATTAACAATGTATTCGATGGTTTTGTAATCTATCAGCAACTGCGACTAATTTTTATGGTATCTCTAGTAAAAATGAAAAATTCTATACCTTCGATCTTTCAATAGAAATCTAATAATTAATAATAGAAAATCGAATAATTTTAGGGTAGTTCCTTTGATTTATTAAAGTATCTAATATTATAACTGGTACAATATTGGAGCCTACAGAGTTCAAAGGGTTAATAACTTTATTGAAACGACTATATCTTATAACTTTCAAGTTACAATAATAAATGCACGTGTGTACAGAAGTTTAAGTTGATCAATCGCTTAATGTCATTCGTCGTTTTGCAATAAAACAATTAAATCGATTTAATCCATATCGATGCGCGACGTTCAGAGTCACGCGGGCCTATGGAGGGTTAATATCATTCAAACACAGACGAACAATGTTTCAACTTGATAACGCACTATTGTTCATCATGTATATTAATTGAACGCGACATGTTTGATGCATTTCCGCAGATGAATTATTCCGTAATGCGAATACGTAATAAGGAAAGTCGATCTAGTTACATGTTTACGCGCGATAAGTTGACCGTGTGCAAGGTCAATGAAATTATTCATGGTGTCTGGAGATCCCTGCATAGTTTCGTCTGCGACCACCGTATGTTAACCGGTTTCGTTTCCCGCCAAGGAGTTCCCCGCGATATTTACTTTCACGGTGATCGTTACGATTTCTATATATGTAACACATCGAGTAATTATTGTTCAATTTTTTTCTCCTCGGCGAAAGTTCAAGGATAACCGTGCTCAAACGCACAAGGTATCATTACACTCTATTATAATCTAGAAAACAATGAAAGGAATTTCTGTCTGCGGACAACTTCGAGAGGTCACGTGATCTAAACTTAACCAATCCCTTCCACGCTGTCCGCGAACTGGTTCAGACAGGCTCGTTTCATTCTGAGAAACGTTTCGTTTAGATATATTCCTAATATGTTTTCGATTTTCATTGTAAACACATTTTTCACGATCTACTATTTATAACCTTATAATTTAAAAAGAAATTAATTAAAATTACCATGTAACTGTGTTCTAAACACCTGTGAATGTTTTATTATAAAATACAAATCATTTGACTGGTTTCTTCATTTTTCTGTCGAAAGCGTTCGCCGAACGTCTCAGTCGACGGCGGTATCGCAATTTTTGAAAAATAGTGTGTCAAGTTCAACAGTTAAATTCCGTCCAACCGTTACGTCAGTATGATGCAACTTATCGCACTCGTTTCTTTCGTTAATCCTCGGCCGAGCTTCTTCCTTCGCTGTCCGGCCGATAATGTAGGGCAAGAAATGACGTTTCAAAAGCATATCGCATATCCTAATTGTTCATGCTCAATTAAAGTCTCGAGCGATACGCGTGTCCTTTAAGTGTGTTTGAAAGAGTGTCGTCGATGGGACGTAAATATGCCACGCGATCCGTTCGGCGGACTGAATTAATGATTGTAAGGAAAATCGATTTCAGAGACGCGCGCGGAGCAACGAACGGAGCCGTGTATACAGGGTGTGTCGGAAAGATTGATGAAACGTCTGCACACGTCCTTTAATCACTCGAGCTTTCTTTGGATAGTCGACTGGACGGTTAGTTACCGAAAAGCATATAAGAAAATGATATTACACTCATTACAGCTCTTACAACTTGTTCCGAATAATTTAACACTGAAATTGACGTTTCGAAACTTCTATATAAAAAATTCAAGAGTGCATCTATCGAGACTTTAATCGATTCTTTATTGAATTTCCGTATTGCCGAGTCAATTTCTTTAGTAAAAGCATTTGCTATTTTTAAATAATCGCGAGAAGATATCTGGAATGGGTCATTTTGACCCATTTGATAGTTCTAGTGGTAATATCATTAACATACATTCTCTATAAAAATGGTAATAATAGATTACTTCCAGTTTCTTCAGATATTCGTTACAATATTCATGTGAAACTATTTTCAAACTCATTTCGAATGTTCAATGCTTTTGAGATATCAATAATTGCGAAAAAATTGAAATCAGCCATTTTGACTGGTAGTCCTCTAGCGTTAAACAAGTTAAACTGAACGCGCAGAAAATTTCTATCTATGAACCCATTCGAGTGTGTCACTTTCCTTGCCATTAAGTGAATTTGTCATTTTATATTTAACGCGTTAATGTTTAATTCTTCCGTTGAAATATAGAATCTGTGCGTATTTGAGAAATACTTTTCGGACATCCCGTATAGGAACACCGTTCTCATGCATGGGTCCGAAATATCGATGCAAAGTTACATCATGCGACGCTACGCGCGGGAACCTACGGTCGTGACGAGCCATACAAGTCGCGTCCACACACAAACTTAGCTCCACGTGCTCGACTCGCGACATGACTTTTCTGACGAAACAGACCTTCCGACTACGGTGTGTCCCTCCTAAAAAGCGATTTATGGCAATTTCCGGACGCCACTTTCCTCCTCACATTGACGTCACATGACGTCATACACAGAACTGTACCGGAATTTCCCATCTTCCGGAAACTCTGTTCGAATAAATTCTGAACACTTGTGCAAAGGGATTTCGTCAGAATGTCCCTTTCGAAAATGGTCGATCAAGGTATTTCATCATTTTCATACAGTTTGACTTTTAATTGTACATTAGTAAATTTCTACAAAATTCACCACTAATTTCACGTGACTCGAATACTTATCGTCTATTTCTCGTCAAATTTAATCTTCAAGGTGACGAATTACTGTGTTCCGATAAGGCTATCAGCTTTAATGTTACCGCTGAGTGAGAGGAGTTTTTCATGTTTATTTATGTAATCGTTTCAACTGTAGCAAGTAACCTAACACACCCATTCATCTCTGTCAATTTATTTCTTATCGTTCGTACTTTTCAACGTGGGCGGTGGTTTTTAATATTTAAAAATTTTCTTTTAATTTGAGTATCGGTTAGAAATATATACAGAACACGACAATCTAGTTGTGTTATACCGTTACGACGATAGTCGTAAAAACCGGTTTCTACGGAACAATAATTTATTTCATTTCCTCAGAAAATCGTCCCTACTTCTTTCGTTCACAGCGTACGTGGAACTCGTCGCGAATGGTACTCGTCAAACATAGGTTCGCCACGCATGAAACGGATTCTTAAAATACCCGCGCGATCGTTGAGATTCAGTGGCGAGCACAAAGAACAGATTGAATTGTAAATAACGATAACAATGAAGACCAAATGGCGTTCCGGTTCACGCATAAATATATATATTGTTGCCTGCCTTATCAATCAGGCCGATGGTAAAGAAAATATGGAAGCAAACTCAGCTACTAAAATATTCCTGCACCATCAAAATCAACAGTCATCCAAATCTCAACACTTAGCCAACCGAATGAGATCTCCTGCATTTCAACATATCGCCTTTTATTTTATCTCTTTTCTTTAATAACTCTTACAGTAGAATCATTTTCAATTTACTAAACTTCTTTTTTACGAAACAAAGTTTCTAATCAAATTTCTAATCAAGTATCTATTTCAATTTTAATCGAATGACCAATCGAAGATACCGTAAGAGGTTATAATTACACTTCCCTTTAAACAAAAATCCCACAAAATATTCCAAAAATCCACAAGTACGAATACCAAAATTCCCATAAACGCCCGCACTGAGTCTCTCTATAAATAAATAAAAACCCCCAGTCTAAATTCAACGGCGGAGCTGAATTTCGATTCTCGAATCGATCCTCGTAGGATCATTCACAATCGAGTCCCGATTATTCCCGTGGTGCCGCGGTCGAAACGTCGATGGGTAACTAAGAGTTCTAAATCCACCAGCTGCTCGTTTATTTTCCAATGGAAATCGGGACCGTTGGCACTGTAAATAGTGCCAGACGGGGCGGACGTCTAATAATGGATTTCGGTTTATAAATTTTCGGTGTGCACGTACCTGTGTCCTGCGCACGTGCGAGGGTGAAAACGAAAGCCTCGTGGGTATGAATCGATAGATACCGTTCGAGCGATGTGTTACTTCATCCCCAGCGAAACGCCGGTACGCACGTTGGCCGGTGTTCTGTCGGTTCGACGGGGAATCGAGTTTCTTTTCGAAAATGTTTCGCGTGCTGCTGGTCCGTACGGGAACGTCTCGTGATGCATTAGACGTACGAACGCAGACCACGTACCAGCGTGCCACGCGCCACGAACACCGACAGTACGAAACTGACTCGAGGAACCACGCCGTGCAAGAATAAACCCAGGTTTTGTCCCCGGAAGAGCGTCCGCCGCGATTCCCCGGCCGACCGCCAGAGGTCGAGCGCCCCACTCGACGATCGACGATCGGTTTTTTTCCTTCGGTTTCCGTCGTCGCGCGTAATCGTTCCCGATGCTTTTATTTACCGAACGATTAAACAGTTAGCCGATAGCTTTTACTCGTCACTTTTTCTCCTGTCGAATATGCGTGCACGCTATCGCGCGGAGATTATTTACAGCGGGAAATTTCGAAGCCGTTCGACGGACCAGCTGTGACTGGCTCGACGACTTCCGGTGTTTGAAAGATATGGGAATCGTTCGGAGAATCTCGAGAATTCGGACTTTGCCAAAGGGAAATTGAATGGTTGACGATGACACGTTGTTGACCGGTCAGGGGTTAACCCTTAGCACTCCAGGTTGTTTTGTAATTTATCAGCAACAAATTTTTATGGTATCTCTAGTGAAAATTAGAAATGCTGTAACATTTCTTCGATCTTTTATTTTTCTTTTCAGAGTTCAAAGGGTTAAGTCGTGTTTTCAATTGCATTAATTTCAATTTTTAAAACGTAGGGTAATATAGAATATTGTGAAAGCAAAATATACAAAGATATGCAAGATATGAAGAAAGTTTCATTTCAATTCATTATTTATAAATAAAGTATGTTGAAGTTTAGATTGTTTCACTTTCATACTCGATTAGAGAATAGTAACCGGTGATATGGGATGGCTTTTGTAAAATTATCAACAACTTAATAAGATGTGTAGAATAATTAGTAAGAATGAATATCTTTGTGTTCATTTTATTTATATATTAAACATTGATTCTAAACAATTTTTAAACACTTCAGTGCTGTTTTAAAAATCACGAAGTAATTTGCCGTAAAATAATATTTGTGTAATCGTGGATTATCTATTTATCTTACTGTTATCTGGTTTAATATTAACGGTGCAGGCGCGGTTTTAGCAGGAAAGCGAGCACGTGGGCTAAGCGGCATGATGAAATCCTGCGAGGGATATTGCAGCGGACGACGCGGTCTGCGAGCTCGAAATGTCAACCAATTGAGTTAACAATCAATCAAGAATTTTCATCACTGTCAATAATACCTAATGATTGGTTTCGATCCCGACACTCTCCGAACATCCCAAGCATAATAAATTCGCATCGTAATTTTCGATACCGATGACGCAAGAAAATCTGTACGCAATCTTCGCCGATGATCGATTAGAGAATTACAGAAACTCGTAACACAACTGCAGCTATCAACGAATCATCGAATCAATCTTAATAACACGTACCTGTTCGAAATCTACACGATTCACCTATCTTGCTGACTGAAATGACAATCTTATTCAAGATTTAATTTCATTTTAATCGCATCGTGTATCGACTTACGCGTTTAAATTAACAGCAGACTCATTAATAACGATACAATCAACGAAACGTAATTCCACGCATTGGAAATGCTACACGCGAATCGATCTCTTTCCTCATTTATGTCATTTCTTTCGGAATGACGCTGCATCTGAATACAATGCAAGATTTTACCAAGAGTCGATCGAAATTCGACGATCCTTTTAATCACAGTAATCAGTTCTCTCTCTCCTCGTTACCAACTACACGAACTTTGTTTTCGCGTTTTATTAACCACCGAAGAATTCGAAGAACACCATGGAATCTTAACAACGCAATATTCGCGAACGCGTCGACAGCGCGGCCGTCCCGGAATCCGCAAGCGCCGTGCAAAAAAGGAAACGTAATCGTATAGGAGGCGTAATTCAATAGTAAGACCGCGCCGCGGATCAATTCCGCGAAAAAAGGACACCAATTCGCGCGCCCCGCCTGTCAATAGCGATCTCGCGGCGCACGGGGCTTATTAATCCAATGAGCAGGATCAATTTTCATTAACCGAACCACGCGCCCGTAACCGTCGTTACTTAATTCTATTAATCTGTCGCGTGCCTGCTTACCGATAGTGAACGACGGTTTGTTTCGGTAACTGGTTTCACAACAACGCGTATCTCCTTACCGATTTACTATCAACAATGATAACGCAACTATTCGATCGAAGTAGCGTGCGGTAACCCAATTTCGATTCGAACGAACGAGTTTACTCAAAAACGCTCTATGTACACTAGATAATTCCTCCTCCTCTTGGACCTAGATCGGTACTATCAATAGAATCATTTATCTCGGTACAGGATTGACATAGTTTGTCGCAGTATTTGATAGCATTCGATACGAGAAGGTTTCATTCGCTAGAACGCGTTACAAGTGTGAAAAACGCATTTCAGGTATCGGCCTTTTCCCCTTCCGTTTCACCGGCTCCGCAAACTTGGTCGGTTTGCTTTTCGAGTACCACTTGTGCAGCTCGTGCAAAAATGGTTTTGTCAACAGCTGCAGCTCTCTCTGTCTCTCCGGGTCGGTCCCTGCGAAACCGATCTCCTCGTAGGCCAACTGCCACCGCGTATCGTTATCAAACAATGATTTATCTGCGCGCCGCGCTTCCTCTTTCCGTGCGGTGTCCCGTGGAACCGACGCAACCGCTGCATAATAAATCGTGTACATCGAATTAAACAGTCGTGTTTGGAAGGTGCTCGGGTTTGTATACGTACGAAGCTTCTTCGTAGAACAAGCGTACTCCTCGACCGACGAACGATCTTTCGATGATTCCTCGATCTTCGGAACCACCTTGAAAGCATCCGCTTTGGCCAGAACCTCTTTCATGCTTCTATCTTCTGGGTTCTATGAAAATTTCATGGTTGACGCTAGGTTCACGAGTTTTATGAGCATTATTTGATGTTCAGGTCGATTTTGATCACATTTAGACGAATATATGATGTAATCGTTCATATTTCAATCTCTAATTTCCAAGATCTGAATGATTATCTATAGTGATAGGGATTATAGAGGAAATTGTACGATAAATGTAAACCCAGTATTAGGATATTGAAAGATGTAGAGTCGAAATGAATGCTCGGAAGTTTCGAAGAAATATTAGACAACAGTCGAGTCGAGTAGACTGTATTCCATAAAGGTCTTGGTCACCAAGAAAACGCGTCGCAGAATGTGCAGTTTTTGCAGAAATCGGTGTACGCTTTTTTATATATGGCGAACGTCGTGTTATTCATGGACAGGACCGCGAGCAGAACTGGAACGAGCACGTGAAGCGCATCTTATGTATTCGAGCGTACGCGATATTTGCATTTCGCGTCTGCTATACATAGTTTCCAGGTTGTAATCGCACAACCTTAATGTGTATCCGATGCAAAACACGCGTGACTCGCTGTGCACACGGCGACACGTTGGTATCAATCAGGAGAACAAATACACGTGGCGGCCATTTTTCTAATCTGAACGCACGATTCCGTTTCACTCGAAAACACGGTTTTAACCCTTCGCGGACGAACGTCGACGTTTCGAGATGAAACGTTTATATTTGGAACACCGAGTCGCAGGCGAATGATTCAATTACTCGGACAGCAAGAGATTAGTACGTAGTTTCTGTTTTTGCTATTATTTAAGCGATCAATATATAATTTAGCTTCTGTCGAAGGTCTTCTACATTTCAAAGAATCTTCGCGTTGACCGTTCAAATACTTCGCTAACAGCTAAAGATGGAGAAAATCTCTTAGAGAAATTCTACTGCGTACGAAGCTGAAATTTCCTTAAGTCATTTCATTATCTAACACTACCTGATTCGCATAGCTGCACAGGCGCGACCGCAATGATAATGACTCTCCATTCGCAGTAGAAGATTTTCATTGAGCTCGAGCAAGATTGCACGAGGTTTGCTCTTTGAACCGGATCGAACAATAATTCAGCTGGCGCAATGATTTCGGCCGAATCGTTCGATTGTCTACCGTGGAATGTTAATTCCGTGAGTGATGCCTGAGCGAACGTTCACTTTTCGCGGCTGTAACGGTACCAACCTTGATCCGTTTTACGTAACTCGCGAATCAAGCGGCGAGATTTTTACTGCCGGGGAGAAATAAGAGATAATGTTTACGAGCGTTAGAGGGGAAGGTTATGTCGGTATCAGAGGCCTTCGTTCATGTTATATTCCGGATATTTAATTCCGCAGATGTTGCGTTCTCACGGTTGTCGTTTGACGGACGAATCGTTTACACTGTCACACCTAACGCGCACCGAGCTGCTATTCCCAAGGATCGCGGTTCTTTAACATTATCTTGCGTTAGATACCGTTTCTGTCGTAACTAACGTTGTCACTGAACATTCTTTAACAACTGTCTTCGAGGAGAACGAGATTCACGCGAAAACTACCGGGCAATCGAGTTACCTTTCCCTAATTCTCTACAGAAACACTGAAAGTCCGACTACCGAGATTTCGACTATAATTCTGTTTGCCTATTACGAAAACGATTTCTTCAGTGATTCCTCGAAGAATTATTTCTTATCGTTTCGATATTTGATAAAGAAGAGCTGAGAAAAAGTGAGAAAAAGTGAGAGCTGTTTATGACAGTTTCTTACGCGCTGTTCTGTTATAATAATATCAAGTGATGATTGTTGAAAAATGTCTGAATAATTTTATCAAAAGAATCGATAAACAATCGTGCACCTTCATTCGATGGATCACACCCGGTATATACTTCTTCGGATGGTCCATGCGAAGCATCTCGCTGATTTTTCCATCATCCTTCTCTGATTCTTTGAATTTTTCGTACGCGTATTCATTGATATCTCCAACCGGAAAACCCGCGGATCTCGCAGTTTCGCCGCCCCACCAAAATGGCGGCGTTAGATAGTCGCACGCCTCGCCATTCGTTGCAGACCTGTTGACAGAAAAATTCTATCCCGATTGCGACGTTAGGGATGATGAAACACGTACTTGCCAGTTTCATGTTTCACCGGGCACTCTGTCATCGTTGCCATGAGCTTCCTCGCGTTTCTCGATCGGCGATCGCGGATGTGCCACAGCTCGAACTGCTGGGAACGAGGGAAAATGGAAGACGAGACTGCAAATTCGAGAATCAGATTCATTGAATTAACACACGTCCTAAAATGTTTTGTTCGAACATCTGAAGAAAATGATTTCTTCGTACTGAAAGCGTCTTGGAGGAATAATACGTTCAAGTTGTTCGAAGATATCGCTTAAATTTAGATTTAAATTAATAAAAATACAAATGGTTCGAACGTTCACTTGTTCGCTTAATGTGTAACTCGTTTCTTAATAAGAAATACCCCGAACCGTTCCAAAGGAAGCTTCCCAAGAACAGTTCTACGTTTCCAAGGTTCGCAAACGTGTAATCGGCCGCGCGGTCGTCGCATACAAAAGCGCGAGTTCCTCTCGCAACAAAAGCGAAACCGGTCCTGAACGAGTCTATTAATCGACGATTAGCAATCAAACTAATTTCGCGGAGCTCTCACAGAAATTAGGTTACAAATCACTCGTGACTCATTAAGGAATTAGTGTCGTGCGCGATTCGAGCCGGCGTAGATTGATTCTCGGACGTCTTATTATTCCTGCGGCCTATATTCGATTGCTCGAAATTGCCGGAGCCGTATGTGTCCCTTCATTACTTTAAGTGGGGGACAATTAAAATTCCAGACGACCGTTCTAACGCGGAACAACGTTCCTGGTACTCCAAGATTAGAGTAGCAATTTCCGACGAAGTTTCTCGCTCCCTTCACCTGACACGTCTCGAATGGAATTCAACAAAAAAAAAGTCAGCAACTAAGGAAACACATTACCATTTCAAGACACATAAAAGTTTCCCTTCTCCAAGATCGAAATTTTAGGCGTAAGATCGATTTTCTCTGCAGCAGAAATAAAGACACACAAATCAGACGATCTTTTGTGGAAACAAACAAAAGAAAAATTGCTGAAATTGATATGAAGTTACACGAAAGAAAGATAATAAGAAAATAATTTAATCTTTAAAACCAGTCGTGCAACCGGTCGCCGTGCGTTTAACGCTGAATTTCAAACTGGAGTTGATTGTTTTGATCACGAACTGTGTTTCGATGATTGATGGACGTGTTTGGGCATCAAGCTCAGTGTCTCGAATACCGTTCCATTGTCAAGACCAGGGGGGTCCACGAGGCCCTCGTTCTCTCGTTTGATCCATTGGCCTAGAACACGCGGATCTATATCTTGTACCGGCGCTACCGGATCGCCTGTAACAGTCACATAAACTTTCACCTAATTCAATCGCCTCGATTCAATTGCGACGTCGCGTTAAATGCCCTCAACCGAGTCAAATCAATTATCCGATGCCGGCTGGCGGTTTATCGGCGCGCTCTTGACTAACACGTGCACTCCGTTACCGAAGAGGCTCAAGACCGAGTTCTAAATCCGTCCTTTTATCAGCGAAAATTCAGACATCGTCCCGTTTCATCGGAATTCCGAATGCTCTTTATCTCGCGAAGGATTAGATCCGCTTTCTAATCGTAAACCCGATCGATTCGATCTGATATTAGCCGACTATATTTAGCAGAGTAATCTTAGAGCTCAGTTACGTTTCGAATGGAATTTCTGATATAATTTTTTGTTAAAAAGAATGATCAAATTCTATATTCAACATCAAATTTTATATAATACAATTAACCAAAATATTCGAGTCAAATGATAATCCCTCGTTCTGTTCAAGTGATTCGTTTCATTAAAAAACTGAACGCATGGGAAAACATTGAAGAGTTAATACGGAGCCGGGTAGACTTACTAAGACTCCTCTTAATAGGTCTAAGCTGCTTAGCCACGTGTTTGTGAGTGGCAGCCGGCTTTCCACGGTGAAAAATCCCGTCGGATAAACACGACGGCGAAACGTCGGCAATATAATAGCCGATCGGCGGCGGTTCTGGAAACTGAACGATCCATAAATCACTCAGCAAACGGCGGAGCGGCGTTTCCTCACCATAAACATTACTCCGTGCGGAACTGAACACCGGAAGCGACCTATCTCCGAAAAGGAGCAACGGAACTCGAGCGGCGCGCACGAATATCGGTGGAAACTCTGCCTCGCCTACGATTACAAGCAAAGATAACCGGCGGCGATAAACGCGTTACTGGCGAAGTCACAACAATCGACGCGTCATGCCGATTACACCGTTATTTCGAAATTTAGCGAAGCTGTCCGGCTTGTTTGTTTGCGCTGCCCTGATTTGCGTGCAGTCATCGTGACGCGCTGTTTAGCGCCAAGACGCGTCGGCAGATAACGAGAGCGATTTCGCGATTACGCGTGAAACCTATTGCGCATCGATTGCACGGGAACTTCACGGACATGCGTCGGTCTAACCCCGATCCCGGAATGTCGAAGAAATTCTGAAGGAAAGTGAAGCTCCAGCCAAATCCTCGGTGCTGTCTAATGTCGCCCATAGAATCCTCGAATTTCGAACATGGAGCGCGTCGGTCGTTCGAGGAAGAGACACTCTAGCAAGGGAGAGGTTAAGGAAGCGGAGCCGGTGTTAGGCAGCCGAGAGACCATGGAGCCGACAACCAACGAGCAGTACCTCTTCCTCTTAGAGTTCCTAGTCCACCACGTGACCGGCGATCGCCTGGCGAAGCTCAATCAAATGTTCTTCGTCCCCACGACCGTCTCCGTCGGCTTCCTCAGTTTACCCGAGGAGGAGACCGTCGAGATCACCCCCGTCGATCCCCTGTTCCAACCCCAGGCCGGGGTAGCCGACGACGTCGAGTACTTCCACTCGGGACGCTCCGTGTTGTTCGCCATCGATCAGCGCACGGCGATCAACAAGGTCCTCGATTTCGTCGTGAGACTTCGCGTGGAGAAGAAGATGCCCGAAGGGCTGCGACCCGACGTTCCGATCGGCGAGGGCGAGCTGGACATGAGCAAGCACTTCGCCGCCCTGCGAAAAGAGATGCTGCAGTGCTGGCACAAAATGGCCCCCCCGCCTAAGTGCTTCGAGGGCGAGGTGCCCCTGACGCACGAGGACGACGAGGTCGGCGCCGTGTGCATGTTCGCCAGGATATCGGCCTTCGGGCAGACGATCGTGACGGAGTTCGAGGCTCCGCCGGACATGGACGTCGACGCGTACGTCTTCAAAGGCGACGAGGTCGACCGGAAGTCCTTGAGCTACAAGTGTCGCGTCATCGACTCCGAGGACGCGGATATCGCCAGAGACTCCGCGGACGATCTAGCGAGAACCGGACCGCCTTGTCGCGTCTGCGTCCCGGACGAGCATCCCTGCAGTCCTTGCGGCGATCCCCGAGGCGCGACTCTGAAGCCGCAGGCGAGCCAAAGGCAGATCGGCGGGTCGGACGGCTATCCGACCACGGTGTCGAAGTCCCGATCGAAACCCGACACCTGCGACGAAGTGCACAAGAGCGGTTTGATACAGTCCAGCCGCGGTCCGGCCCAACCGTGCGGAAAGGCGGTGGTGCTCAAGGTTTCCGGCGTGCTGGACGCCGACGCGGAGAGGAGACCGACGGTCACCGTGGCGTCCGAGGCCGAAGCTGCTGGCCAGGACTGTTCCGAACCCAGCCACGATGTTTTTGTGCTGAGGATCGGGAAGAAAGGGATCGTCGGGGCCGGCGAGAAGTCGGACATTCAGTTGGAGATGAGGACGCCGAAAGGCGCCGAGAAAGGGCCACCTGTTAGAATGGAGACCAGGGAGATGCAGACGGACGAGGAGAGGAAGAAGAGGAGGAAGAAGAAGAAAGCGAAGAAAGAGTGACGCGAGAGTTTCTCGGAGATCGAGGGCTTTTGTGTATTCGGGGGTAATGGAATAAAAGTGGCGATGGAGATTGATGATACGAGAGTTAGGAGTTGGTTAGGGATGATTTAATCGTAGAATTTCTTTGCGTTTTTAATTAGGAAACATCAGGTGTCATTGTTGCAGTGAGAATTTCACGTGACAGCGCCGAGTGCCATCTAGTTCGAGCCGAACCTCGAAATTCTCCGTGCGCGATGCTGTTCGAGGCGTATCTAAATTAATAGTTCGATAGACACGCGTCTTGTTTCGATTGGAAGATAAGTTTAAAAAAAGCCATGAAATAAAGCCAGCGTTTTGAAATTAAAATCCGACATGGGCGACGAGCAGCAACTGTTCCTTATAGAATTCCTAGTCGACAGAGTGAAGATCCCCGTAATAAAGGCGATGCAGGACGAATTGCTACCAGCCTGCACTTGCGTCTCGTTTCAAGTAATCCACGACAGAACTTGACACTGTCCCTATCCATAATGGAAAAGTTCAAAACTTTCTAAGAGGCCATAACCTCTAGAAACTTCTAACCCCATCATGTTTCACAGATTCTCAGTCTGCCGGCCATCGACATTTGCCAAGAAGCTCTAACGGACAGCTGCGGTTGCAACGACGGGGACACGCAGATCTTCAAGAAAGGGAAATCCTGCTTATTCGCGTTGCCCTCGATCGTCCTTCAGAAGCCCTTGACAACCTTCCCGATAAAGATGTCCGTCTACAAGAAGCTGCCGCCGGGCGTGCTGCCGGACGTGATGACGATCGGTTGCCATCAGATAGAGGCGAGAGCGTTGCTGAACGCAGTGCTCAGCCAGCAGGTGTTCAAAGTGCTGAATCCCTGTCAGACGATCAAGGACACGTTCAAGATCACCACGGCGACCGGCCAGTGCGTCGGCACGGTCACCGTCTACGTCAGGGCCTCCTGCTTCGGCCGGAAGATCGTCACGCAGTTCCAAATACCGCACAACAGGAAACCGTACCTGTTCAAGGGTGCCGACGACAGTCCCGTTTTCCAGTGCAAAAAGATACCCTCGGCCTGCTACACACCTGCCCCTGTCAAATGTACCTGCGCGAAGAAGTGTCTTGACGGCAGCGGCGAGGCCACAGGAAGAACCTGTTGCCCCGCGCCTGCAGCCATCGCTCCTCCGCCACCTGCGGGAACACCTCGGCCTGATTGGGGTCCACGACCCTGCTGTCCCTCTCGACGAGATTCCCCTGGGTACGTTCGTTCTTTTATATTCCTCTTTCCACGGTGTGGCCAATACGACCCCTCATTCGAGACAATGATCCCTGACTTAGGGGAGCGAAGATCGAGGGTCGAGGGTCGAGGGGAATCATTTGAGACCCTAAAGAAGCCGTGCCGATCGTTTTTAGGGTTTTGTAGTAGTTCCAGTTTGATGAATGGATCGTATTAACCCTTTCCACTCGAGAAGCGACTCTTAGTTATTAACACTGGAACTACCGAGCTTAAACCGTCTTTTTAATGTCTTTATGAAAGCTAAAGGCGATTTATTAAGATTTCAATTGTATTTCGGTTTATTATTTAATCAGCTTCTTTAGTCATTTTTCAAAGAGGTACTCGTATCTCTTCGGTAATCACAAAAGAAATCAAGGAATCTGGTAGTTCTAGTGCTAATTCGATGTGGAGAAATTAAGTCTTGTATGTTAAGCTTTGTATAATGTGTCAATATGTGACATATTCAGGTAAAGTGGATTAGTTTCTTAATTTATTTTCACAGTGTTATCTGTTTTGTCGGAACGTGTTGAATGTCTCTAGAGAGTGTTTCAAGTGCAAAGGGTTAAGAGATTCGTGTGATGCAGTTTGTGTTGAGAAGTTGAGGAGTATTTGGAATATTAAGTAGATTCCGTTGAGATTGAATAGGAGTAAATGATAAGGCGATTCAATACGATTTGCCCATTGTTCAGAAAGGAAACCCTAAGCTGTTCACCGCGTTCACCCACGTCGCGACGGACTCAGCAAGCAACCTCTTCCGGGAACTGTCCACCTTGTTGCACGCCGCATCCTGGGCAACTCGTGAAATTGGGTCAATCCGGGGCCGAGGGCAAGTGTCCACCTTGCTGCTCGACATCGTCGAAAGGATTTCAACCGTTCGGCGATCTATCTGCTAGAGAGGCAAGCGTGAAGAGGTGCGGTTGCCCTGCGAAGGACTACAGCTGCAACTGCAAGCAGAAGCGGAATAGCTGCGGGTAACAAAAACAACAATGGTTCTGGCTCCTCGAAACTTGAAAATTCGAATTTAAACTTCCAAACCGATAAGAACCTTTAACCCTTTGGACTCGAAGCAATTTCAATAGAAAAAACATATTCACCGATGAATAAATGATATGTTCATAGAAAGGAAGATCATAGATGTATTTTATTATCTATTGATTGTACATAGAAATGCCATAATATACTCAACACGTTCCATGCCACGAAAATTTATATTTCACTTATGAACTCTATTGATTTTAATAAAATGTTAATTGATATTTAAGTTCTCGTTGCTTTGTAACGCAACCATCCGTGACCGTGTCTTAAAAATATTACAATTGGCGTGGAACGTATTGAAAACATAATTTCACATTTCAGAGTGAAACTTTACAGTTTACAAATAACGCGTGAATGACAGCGTTCAGAAATTTAGTGCACGCCATTAGCGATTATTTCTGTGCCGTGAAACTATCGTTAAACAAACGGCTATTGTTCTCACTTGACCGCCACGATTTGACTGGGATCATAGCCACGATCAAATTCCTCGTGATTACGAGCACAATGAACACACCCGCGCCGAACGAAGCTGTTCCGAGTGGCCATTAGCTGCCATTATACGCGTCCCAGCGGACGGTTATCGATTATTTCAAAATTAATTCCGTCTTCGGCGTCCAGGTAACCTGTCCGACCGACGTCCCGATATAAATCAGAATCGGGAACGTTCCGACGCCGAGCACAATAGGATGCGATACCGATCCCCGCGCGACTAGATTCGAATAATAATGCGAAGAGGATATTGACCGCGTTCGGGCAGGAGGAGGTGGCGGAGGAGGAGGAGACTTTCGCAGCAATTAAAACGGCCGGAAACGGTGTTTAACGAGCCTTGGGAAAGGATAGACGTCGAAAATGCGGGGAACGTGAAAAACGATGCAACCGGCCGGCAGGAAAAAGGGCAGGAGGAGGAAGAGGTCGAGCGGTTCGAAGGAGAGGAAGCGAAAACAAGAGGCGGAGAGCGTGGCGGCGGAGCAGGAACGTTTGCGTAAATGGGAGGAGTGTTGGGAGAGGAAGCTTCGGACCCAGGAGGAACGCGATTACGCGGAATGCTGCGCGGCGAAAGGGTTGTGCGTGAGGCCGAGGACGCAATCGAACATTTGGATCAACGTCACTCGGGACAGATCGATACAGGAAATCAGTTTAACCGTCAAGTAAGAGGATTTCTATTAGCCAGTATTCTCTTCAGCTTTCCTCAAATGTAAAGTCTATTGTCTCAATTGTTATTGAATAATTAAGTTGATAGACTAAACAACTAACAGAAGTAGTGACAGAGTATTGATCCTCTTCAACTTTCGTCGAATGTAAAGTCTATTGTCTCAATTATTGAATAATTATTAAATTGATCTAAAGAACTATCTAACAGAAGTAGTGACACAGTATCGATTCTCTTCAGCTTTCCTCAAATGTAAAGTCTATTGCCTCAATTATTGAATAATTATTGAATTGATAGACTAAAGAACTATCTAACAGAAGTGGTGACACAGTATCGATTCTCTTCAACTTTCGTCGAATGTAAAGTCTATTGTCTCAATTATTGAGTAATTATTAAATTGATCTAAAGAACTACCTAACAGAAGTGTGACACTGTAGCTATAAAAATGCCGTTCGCTCAGCGTATTTTTCTGCTGAATCAGCGAAACGTCACGGATACTTGGATTCCGTTAGTAATTAATCGGATGCATTGCATACTGGATCGCAATAGTTTCGCTAATTAGTTTATTCGGGTTTAATCCCGTTATCGCAGTTGACATTCTCTTTGAATGTTGCAGGCATGTTCCGGTTCCTAGACCGAAGCCTCCGCCCCTGCCGCCATTGAAGCCACAAAGGCCGTCGGAAGATGCAGCCCCAGAGAAAGGCACCGGAAAGAAAGTGGACAAAAACGTCGGCACAGGAAAGAGAAAAAGAAAGTAACAGACGGTCCCATTACAGGGTAAGTCGTCTATCGCGGGATTACCATAAAGCCGCGGCCACTTTCGTCAGGACGGCTCCCACCCATTGTTCCCCATTCACTCGTACGCGTGTCCCTCGATTTTGCCATTTGTAAAAATACATTGGTCCGCGGTAACGGCGAGGATGCCGTGCTGCCGCGTTATTCTCGTCGTTCGAAGTACGTTCGCCGAACTACCGAAATGGAAATAGTCTGTCAGCGGGAGAATGAGAGTCGATACGAGATCCGTCCTTGTCCGCTTCCATGCAAGAACAATAACTCGATCGCCATGGGAAGCTGTAACTCTGACACCCGACCCGTTAACCCTTCGCGGACGAAGATTCTTTGAGATATACAAAACTTTCGGCAGATAAAGAATTACATATCAAACGTTTAATTAATACAAAAAAGGAAATTACGCGATGATCTCTCGCTGTTCGAGTAACTGAATCATCTGCGACTTAGTCTTCCAAATAGAAAAATTTCATCTCGTCGAAACGTTGACGTTCGTCCTCATTGCTACACGTAGAACATCCTATACCGCGTCTCGAACTTCTTTATCTTCGCTAACGAAATCAATATTCTCTGTTACTCGATCTAATCGGCATTCTTCCCAATAATTTCACAGGAAATCCAACTTATTGCCTCTCCGAGACACATCTCTTCAAACTCCGACAACTCCTCGCCTCGTCCCAAGTTTCCCTGTCACGTCAGACCCCAGAGGACATCGTGAACTAACAAATTCTCGCAATTTCTTTTCGCAAGCGGCTCAGCAGGAGAGCGGCGCGTCGCACCGGCAAATTCGCGGAAATTGCCACGTCCGCATTAAATGCGCGAGTGGCATCGCGACCAATCAGTCCGCGCGTCCTTTCTCTTCCGGTTGCTTCCCGAAAGAGGCCGAAACTCCGTTGTCACCCGAAATCCTCCGGCCGGCCGTTCATTGACACGGTTTTCCGCGGCGCGGAGGATGACGTTGCAACAGCAAGGACGTTGCACGTCGGGCGTTATTCCTGTCCCCGAGGGGAGCACTCGGCCGAGCGGGGAGAGAGACGGCCGACGAAAAGCACCGGAAGAGGGTGAGAGCGTGAGAGGAGGTCGGTCGCCGCGCGGAGCGGGTCTGCGCGTGCTCCACGTTCCACCGCCACCCTCTGTTGCCACGAGCGCGACGCCGACGGGGTTGTAAGCCGATATTGTCGGGCAGGCGCATTGCCCGGTGACAGTTCGGGGAAGGAAGATGACAATGAAAGGACATATATAATATAAATCCGCGTACGAACGCACGTTAACCTCGGGGCGGCTGGCTGATCGCCTCTGGCTACCGCCGAGGATGCGAGAGAGCCCGCGATGAGAGGGGAAACGCGCGTGTGAAAAGAGAATCCGCATCGGCGACGACCGTCGCGCGACTGATATTCCCACCCGACGAGGCTCGGGGCCGTCGCACACCGTCGCAGGGGACGAGTCCTCCGGTAACGCCGAGAGGAATCATGAACAGCTCGCCGCAGAATACGGAGGTGGCCGGGCAACAGCACCGGGCCGGCGGCGGCGGCGTCGTCGAGAACAGCGACGAGGAGGAATGGAGTGGTGTCGTGGAATGTGTAATGTTATTACATCGACTCGTGTACCGAAAGAATGATTTTTATTTGCTGAAACAGCCTTCCTCGAGCAGTTTCTTGTTGC